GTAACCAAATCTTATCTAAATACCTTACTGTAGCAAAACACAAGTCTCTTCTTTCCAAATCTATACCAAATAGCACAATGCTTAACCCACATTTATATAATATTTATAATATATAGAATATTCAACTCCAGCATCACATCTCTAACTATCTTCAATGAATAAACAACCCTAATCTTCTTGGCATTACAACTCGAATTAAATTTCAACAACTACAAAATAACTTATGGTCTTCTATTAATATTTCATATCATCCTAAACCAATTATTGATGGTCCTAACAGACACTCATTAAACTTTAAAATTATTCAACTTTTTATTCACCTTGGCTTAGTAATCTCAGCCAATTCTAATATTATATGGCCCTATATAATTAGTAATGAAGACCAGTTACTAGAATCAATCTTATTTTAGTATTCTAAATATTCAATCTTTAAAAACAACTTAGACAATCTAATATTATGTATCTTGAACAACTCTGTACAGCTAACAACAGTATCTTATTAGATTGAAAACATCTTTTATCTAGACTTTTATTTTTGCCTAAAAAAGAAAACCTCTTTGGTTTTACTACTTAGAAGGCACAATTTTAGTACACTCTTACTACTGAAATATACTATTACACTACCAATTATCTGGTCATAACTCTTATACTTATTACACTATTAATACATTTAAAAAATTTATAATATCTAAACTTTGGTTACTTTCATGTCACAATAAAAAAATTATTATTGAAAAAATATGAAAATACTTCTCCTCATCTAACCATTACTTCATTACTCACTGAACTTCCAATATAGATTTAAACTACTCAAAATTCTATCCTTTACCCTCTGCTGAATACAAATGATGTACAGGATGCCATCTTAATTCTTATAAATTTACCAAACTTGTACTGTCAAAGTTTCTACAGTTATTTTAACACAATTTTTTGGCAGAATCAATTCCAAACACCAACTCAACCTCAATGCAAATTACTTAAACCTTATTTGCTCTACAGCTGTCAAGCATCCAACCTGTATTTCTCCTCTACCTATAATTCCTATTTCTAATTCAATTACTTCTAAAATCTTTATTTCAAGCAAAACTATCAACAAACTCATATTTATCTCTCAATATAACTACTCTTACCAACAACTATTCTTTTATACTGATGACCCAGTAATCAACATTGGTACTGACTAATGCACAATGGGTATTAGTTGGATCCAAGTTGATAACAATAATCAAACTATTAACTTCTTTTCTGCTAAAATACAATTCTGGCTCTTGTCATATAAAGCTATGCTTTTCTCAATTATTACTGCAATCTTAGCAGCTTCATGCAATTCAGTAATCAATATTTTCACTAATTCTCAATCAGTAATTTCTAAATTTAACAATCTTTAACTTTACTCAAATCATCCTAATAAGCTATTCAAATTCAGCTCATGGCCCATTTAATACATTCTTTCTAATATTATTAAATCATACAAATTATAAATTATTTTTCAAAAAATGCAAGTTCACTTAGATAATAATCTTAATGAACAAGTAGACTCTCTTGTCAAACAATATCTATCATTACCACTTCTTTCATTTAATTACACAAACCTTTATAATTCTTATCATATTCTTCAATAGGAACAACATTATATAAAACTTCTTATAAGATATTTTATTAAGCAAATATGTAAAACCTACATATTAGCTATATGGGCATCTCAAAAACATAATAGTAAGTAGTCATACTTCAATCAGGATATTGACTAGAGATCCACTTGACTTTATTTTAATCATAATCAAAAACCCTTACACAATATTACTAATTTTAGACTCAATCAACTAAAATTTTTTAAAATCAAAATTCTTCTTAATGAGTTACCAATATACCAACTATTTTGTACTATTTATCCAAACCAATATTCAGATACTAATTGTTTTTATTGTAATCTAACTAACTCTCACTCTCACTAGCACACTTGTACTAATACACTTTTGCTTAACCAAATTATTCAAACATCTATCAATCAAATTATCTTTAGCAAATTATCTCTAGCAAATTATCTGATCTTGATACTTACCAAAAAAATGATCTAATTTATAAAATCCATTATCACCCATTATTCAATTCCTTATATATCTTACCTAACCCATTTTATTCTAACTTTATTCTCAAAGAACTTATTTCAAAGTCACTTATATCAATAGTTCAAAACTCTAACATATCATACAAAACTGTCTCCCAAATTATTATTGATATTATTCTTAATATTAATAAACAATCATATAAACAATTATAAAAAACATATTGCATTCATTTCTCAAACTGAAAAAAACAACAAAATAAACCTTAATCTTAACCAATCAACAAACCTTCAATATTACCTAATTCAGCAGCTAGGCATATACGTTTCTGTAGAAACTATACTTACTTATACCTTTGCAGACTTCCAGATCAACTACATACTTCTTTAATATATGCCCTCCTATAGGCCAAGCAATTCACAAAATTAACATTTGGTCTATTCTATAAATCAAATATAGCATATCATCAAATTATATACTAAATATTCAAATCTAAGTGAGCTTTAACCACTCTAGTAGGTTTAAGTTACAGATAAATTAGTCTGAGCTTTTATTTTTGCATATAATTTTCAATTTATTTGTTTTGTATAAATAGTAGTAGCTGTATAGTTAGCAGTTTAATAGTTAGCTCTAATTGCATGTATTGGCTTTGGTTATAGTATATATACATATAACTATTTTAAATTATTAATAAAGATATAAGCAAGACCTCATCTTAATACCAAAAAAAAAAAATTTATAATATAATTTTTAACTCTAAATAAAATATATTTCTGAATTAATTTTATTATTCTACAAATCTAAACCTTAAGAATTTTTATTATTGTAATTAAAAAATTAAAAAATTAAATTTTAATTAAAATTATATATAATATTAACTAAAATTTGTTGATTACATCTTTTGGCTAATTAAAATTAAAAATCAATTGCATATTTTATATATTGTGTCTAGATTTAATAAATCTTATATAAGATACACATCACATGCTACATTTTTGAAGAAGTTACAATTTATCTATCTTTATTAATAATAATTCTAAACATACTAGTAATATTACTAAAAATAATTTTTAAATATTATTTAAATTTAATAGATTAAATATTTAATAGTTCTAATAATAACTCTATAAAATATGTAAAAAAATAAATACCAATAGATCTTTATAATTTGAAATATTTTATAATTAAAGAATAGAAAAATATCTTGTTATATAGTTTAATAGCTTAGTAAAATCAATAAGAAAATAAGAAAAGCTTGTTATTAAAAAAAATAAAATATAAATTTTTTAGTAATTTTTACTAATAAAACTTAAAGATTTAAACTTTTAAATAATATTTTTTTTTATATGTTTTGATTGAGCATTGTTAAGTATTAGATATTTTAGTATAAAATCTGATTAAATTTGCAAATAATTTAACAAAATTTTGCAAATTTAACCTACTTATAAATAATCAGTTGTGAGTAATTAGTTGCTATTACTTAGATTACAATTAAAATCAACATGTACTTTTAAAATTCTAGTTTATATACTAAAAAATAACAACATTTATAGTTTGAAACCTTTAATTATCAGATTTTACAATTCAGAGTTAATTACTATAATCATTAAATTTTATATATTATACAATTAGAAAGCTAAAAATTGAAACTTACAAGCATATTGTAATCAACAATTAATTCAAAGTAGACTTGGGTTTTGTGAACTACCTCAATGTATTAACCTTCTATAGTATAAAACTATAACTTTTAATATTACTATTTACTTATTAGAACTAAATAATTCTGTATTTAACTTCATATATACACATGGACAGTTGTCTTCAAAAGTATAAAATAGTTACACAAAAACATACTATAAGCTTATGTATAATTTATATAAATTGCAAAATACATAAGCTAATCATAGTATTAATCATTATCAATATATAATACGTATATATATAGATATAAGAGTACAATAAAAACACATCATATTTTTTCTAAGTAAAGTTTTTTAAAACTTTAAACAAAGATAACTCAACAACAACTTTATAAATTTAATAAATTTTTTTAAAAAAAATTTATAGAATTTATTTAAAAAAATTTTTATTAAATTTGATTAAGTTTTTGCTAAGTTAGTTTTGTTCAAAGATTTAAAAAATTTCATTAAAAATGATATGGTGCGTTTCTATTGACTCACCCCCATATATTTATTTATGTGTGACATATTATTAATTCGCTAATAAAATCAACACTCATACATGTAAGGTATAATACCTGGTATAATGTTTATATATATTAAGGTTAGGGTAAGATTTTAAAAACTTATGTGGTTATATGTAAAATTAGATCTGAACAATTTTACTTAAGATAACTACATATTATTTTCTTAGTAAAATTTTGAGATATTGATGACTTTTAATTTTTTTCTTATACTGGATATCATAACTACCGTACAAATATAAATCTTCTTTGTTAATTTGCGTAATAATAATATATCGTTAAATTAGCTTATTTACAAAATTTATAGTATGCTTTTATGTAACCATTTTATACTTTTGAAGGCCACTGTACGCACATACATACATATGCATAAACTTTATTAACGCCAATCGTGCTGGTCCTGCAGATATCATATGAGTGCGTGAGAGTAAAAACCAGGAAATAAGTTTAATGATTTATTACGGGTTTCCACTCTCAAGTCCGGTACTACTATGTATCAAAATTTGCAGTTACTAGCATTATGTAATTTGTTAATTACTACGATAGAGTCATAGAACTGTAAACGTTGAAAATGTTGGCCTTTCATTCGTCGGTATGCATATCCCTAGCAAAAAAAAAATGATATTGAAAATTTCCATTTTTAGTGTAATTCTGCTTTTCTCTCTGTGATATGTTTTCTTTAGATCCATATATTTTATTGGTTCACCTACAATTTAAGTACTGATCAATAGCTAGACCTCCCTAAATGTAACTCATTAAAGGTTCCGCACAAAAAATGCGCTGATGATCCTCGATTTTGATTGACCAACGGCTGTGATCAACAACATTCTGGCCCGCATTATACATAATTTTGGCCAGAATTGATTTTTAATTCCAAAAAGGAAAATTTTAAGGTTTGGGCCTGTCCGAAGGTAAAATTAGCCCAGGAACATTTTTCACTTTAATGGGCAACCGCTTGATCATCGCTGTTGGCCAATCAAAATCGTGAATTTCTTGTGCGGCACCTAGGTTTAATAATGCAACCCCCCTAAATGCACGCCCTATCCCTAATGCACGGGCCAATTAATATAACACTTATGGTTTTACAGTAGATAGGCTTATAACATAATTCTCGTTATAATGAAATGATCAGAGATTTTTTTCACTATATCGAGTAGGGATGGGCAATGCAATAATTCATGTAAGCAATCTCAATTTTTTAACCGTTACCTATTGTTACATATTTGCGACTGATAATTACTACTTATTATTACTAATCGTAATTCGCAAGTTCAATTTAATACTAAAATTTCAATTCTGTCGTTTTTTCAAGAACCAGTTTTTTTATTGCTTATTACGTAAAAAATTGGATGTAATATTAAGTAATAATAGTGATAGTAAGTAATAGTACATATAAAAATTTCCCATCCCTAATATCGAGAGTATATTAGTAAATTCACTATATCGAGCACTATAACAAGAGGTCCACTATAACGAGAGTGACTTGCAATTTGAGGAAACAAAATATGCATGCAGCGCATGCATGTAAATGCAATAAAGAATTTTTTTTCATATTACTTTTATTAATTTTACAAATATATTAATCTGAAGAGACGACGGCATTATACATTCTTTAACAATATGTACACGTTTTATGTACAGTAGGTGCTTGTAGGCTTAAAAATTTTCCTTGCCGTTACATAAATTTAATTAATTTGCAAAATGTGCACACAGTGAATGTATATGCCATAATATTTTTCTCAATTAATTTTATTAATCTGAGGAGACAAAAATATTGTACATTCTTTAAAGATGCGTACATACCAGTGTCTAAAAGGTACAAGGTTTCTTTGAATTGCGTTTATTATAAATATCGTTAATTTTTCCCTTTAACCCAAAAACTTTTGACGTGCAAATTTATATCAAAGGTGTGTATAATTTTTTGGTTATTATTACCAGTTTTTTATTTATATCATTTTTTTTTAAATATATAAATATACTATTATGAATTTTTTTTTTTTTTTTAGATGAAACTCACTTTTTTATTGCAATTATTCGTTCTCGGATTTTTTTTGGAGGTCGTTTTAACATCTCCATTAGTCGCCAGGCAAGGAACCCAAGGACTCCCCACTTGTCCTACAAATGTAGGGTTATTTGAGTGTAATATTAAACAGGAAACCCGCTCGGAGCCTATTCCCTCTACTGAGTGTGTTGAATCACGTTCTTGTAATTATCAACCGAATAATATTGTTTCTTGTAGTCGCGTTGGTATAGAGTGCGTGATTTCTTCTATATCGACTAATGAATTCCATTGTTCATATGTTGTAAATGGAACTGAACCTCGATGTGGATTTATATGCAAAAGCTGTCGCAATACATTAAACAATGAGTTGGAATGTAATAGTTGTAGTAATGGGATTAAAACTCCTTAATATATTTCATAATACACAAACTATTTGCTTTTTTAATAGCCATTAACAATACATAATGTCTTACCATTATACAAATAATGTTTTATTGGATTTATTAGATATATTTACCTATTTACATTGAATTAGAAGAAATTATTAAGCAAATGCTTTATCACTACTCTTAAATAATCGGACAAGTTTTCTACTATATTTAGATTTTATTATTACATATATTTCCATGAATTTCACATCCATCAGAATTTTGTAATGATATTTACTATAATTAAACTTCACAATGTTTCATAAGTATTTTGATTTCGTGCTATAATTAACCTGTTCGGTATGAATTATTCAATATGCTATATTTGCACCTAAAAATAATATTTAAATTTTATCATAGCAATAAGAAGGAATGCACTGATTTGATGTAGTATAGTATCCATGGAATAGATAAGACATCATTAGTATTGATTTTTAGTAATTGATCAGTTCCCTTTTTTATTTGGGTCAGACTTTCAAGTGCGCTATTTACAAGTCACTAGAAGTTAGTCTTCATTATTATATTCGTTAACTAAACTCTTAATATCTATATTCTTATTGTTATCCAAATTAATAGAGCCTTACATATACAGTGTGTAACAAAGTCCTTTGCTCACCAAACCATATGATATAAATTAGCATAACACATTTTAATATAAATATAAATTTGCTTGATCTTAAAATCTACGTTTTTCGTTTATTTAAACGACCATATTCATTATTATTTTTATTATTATTATTATTTTAAGTGCTGTGTGCATAAGCAATAATGAAAGTAACAACACCGCCAATTTTATACAATATTTGTGAGACAAAGAATATGCGATGCTAATGAGATATATAACGAACTCTCATTCCAAGGCGAACAATATATTACAATATAGCCAAGTTAAAAAAAACTGTAAATGCCGCACACAAAAGATGGTCTCGCTCAATCAGAGATCAATAATGATAATTTGCAGCTAACCCCAAAAAATAATAATAACCTCAAAAATCTCTAGGGTATCGAACAGCATATACGAAGGAATTCTGTCAACTCAACAAAAAATTTGTTAAATAACAATATGCAAGTCTTCCACATGAACATTTAAGATACATGGGTTATAAAAACAAGTTGCCACTTGCAACACCAATATTAACAGAAAGAAACAAACGAGAACATTTAGAATGGGCCAAACGACACCTTAATCATAATTGAAAAAAAAACTTTATTTATCAACGAAACCACTTTTCAACTTTTCAGAAACATTATTAAGACACTGGTATAAAGGTAAATGACCTATTTGTCCAATACCAAAAGAAATGACAAAAAAATTTAGCTTGGGTAATATTCGAATATATATCCTCTGATTGTATAAGCTATTAGAAAATTTTCAATACAAATAAACTAGTCTGGATTTTGCGTTCACAGTAAAACTAGTCTTTTCTGTTTTCAGAAAATTATGAACAAGTTTTTTTACGTTAAGATTCTCAAAAGATATACTTCCAAGGTATATAATTTATTAGGTGAAAACGATTGGTGATTCAAGCATCATAATGATCCCAAACACACAAGTAATGTTACATTTTTTGAATATTACCTTGATTTAATGGACTGGCCATATAATAGTCCTGATATTAACCCTGCGAAAAATGAATACCAAGGATCTTCATGATTTAAAGTGTTTTATGATTGAAGAATGGGAAAATATCCCGCAATATGTTTTAATTAGCCTAGTAAAATCAATAAGACGACGATGTGAGCTTGTTATAGAAAACAATAGGATGCGAATTTCCTATTTATTTTATAACTAATAAAACTCATAGTTTTGAACTTTTAAATAATTTTTTTTTCATGTTTTAATTCAATGATGAGTATCGCTTGGTTATTTTAGAGCAAAAAGTTTGTTACACACTGTAATATTGGTCAAATTTGCAAATTTAACCAGCTTTTGAAAAATAATTTGTGAGTAATTAGTTGCTATTACTTGTATTACAATACAAGGTTGTACTCCAGATAATCACATGATAGTCTGGAATGAATATCTGGAAATTTTTTTAAGTTTGATTTCATTATGTACTTCGCACAAAAACTTTATATTATTATCAGTTTTGTTTGCATGTGTTGATGTTCATTGATAAATTATAGTTGTTTTTTTTGGAAGTCTTACTGGTTTACATGCTTTCATTATAGTTGCGTCGACATTTTCTTGAGAAATTTTATGCTTTTTTTCATTGGACTGATGCTGGTTTTTGTTCTACTTCATAATGATTCAGCTTCTACAGTAGAATTTCATCGATAGAGATAGACAGCCAGTTTGCCTAATGATAATGATTCAACCTTTTCATGTTCTTTTTTAGTCGTGTAGTGATCTTAGATATTTCCTGAAATTCGCTTAACCAATTTAAGATACCTCTTTGTTGTTAAGACATTGTATAAATTTATATTAAGCTGTCCAATATTTATTTTTTAAAATTTAATCATTGATTCAAGTTAAATATAATTTTTTTTATTTTATAAGAATTATTAAATAGAAGTATTTTTTGAAGTGGGGTAGGTAAATCAGACAAGTTGAACGAATCAGTTTACATTATTATTTTTATTTTATTGTTTATATGAAGTGAAATATGAAACGGAATATGAAGCAAAGTATAAGCAAAATATGATGCAAAATATAAAGCAAAGTATGATGTAAAATATAAAGCAAATATGAAATGAAATATGAAGCAAAGTATGAAACGAACATAAAGTGAAATATGAAGCAAAATATACTGAAGTATGAAGCAAAATATAAACGAAGTATGAGGGTATTTAAACGATGTTATCGTTTGGATTGATTGTTTGGATTGATTTCCGGACAATCACATGACCATCTGGAGCACAACCCGACGATTAATTCAAAGACAGTTTATTTCATCGATAACTCATTTCTCAAACAACATAATTCTGGTCATTGTTGTCGGGTCAGGTTCGGAATTAGAGTTAAGATTACAGCTGTTCTCATAAATTTTGGGACATTGGCAAAAAATTGACCGAATGATTATCAGGCCGATTCGATAAGTTAATAATTTCGGCAATAAGCGATTACGTAATAATGTGTTCTTTGCTAAACATAAATGATGCTTTGTGATTTCGATAATGATTGATATAAATAAGAAATAAAGATATAAATAATAACGCACTATTTTTATTTTTACTAAATGACATTTTCAAAACATATTCGTTGGACAATCGTTGAAAAATATCTGGAAGGCTTAACAGTTCGGGTAATTTCCAGACATCTAGGTGTTAGCAGGTCTTCCGTAAGTCGAGTTCTCAAACATTTTCGAAAATATGGTTGTGTTGAAAAACTTTCAGCACTTTTAGGAAAACCACGTTTATTAAATTTGGATAATATAAAGTATTTTAAAGCTTTATTGAACGAAAAACCTGATTGGTATTTATATGAATTACAATCAGAGATGGAACTTTGGTTAGGGCATAAAATTAGTTTATCAACAATTTGGAGAGTTCTACATTGGCTTGGATATACAAATAAACAAGTATGGATTTTAAATATATATACTATAATATTATAAATTATATTAAAGTTCAATCGTATATAGATTTCAAGACTTGTAAAAGAAAGGAATCATAAAGATAGAGATAATTTTATTTTATGAATGTCTCAATATAAACCAGACCAGTTAATTTTTTCAGATGAATTAGCTTACAACAGAAGAACATTGTTACGTTGTTATGGTTGGAGTTTTTCTGGAACATGTGCTCGAAAATATACATTTTTTGTTTGGAGAAAATGTTTTACTATTGAAGGTGTACTGTGTATTGATGATCTTTTAGCATATAGTATTCAAGAAAATTCTATGAATACTAATGATTGTGAAAATTTTATTGAGCATATATTGATAAGTAAATTTTATTTAATATCAATGCAGATGTAATATTAATTAAATATATATATTGTATATTTTTTTAATAGTTATCAAAGATGAATGCATTTCCTGAATAATATAGTGTATTAGTCTTGGATAATACAATTATACATAAAAGTCAATATTTACAAGATATTTGTAATGAAAAAGAAGTTATATTGGAATTTTTACCTGCCTATTCACCAGATTTTAATCTGGTAAGCAATTTAAAATACATATACATAGTAATTTTTAACTAATAATTTAAGAATTGTTTGTTTATATATATAGATCAAACAGATTTTTTTTATATAAAAAATTACTTAAATCAAAATAAAATTTGGGCAGAATTGATGTAAGATCTTTTAGATGTTTTAGACTTTAGTTGTATAACAATTGGAAAAAAATTAGCTTATACATGCTGTCAACATACTAGCTATATACAATAATTTAATAAATATAATATACTAAATCATTAAAAACCAGAATCAGATTGAGAACTTGACAATCATTTCTAAATTAATTATTTATATAATTACAAAACAAGATCATAACTAGTATTTTATAAAAAAAAATGTTTAAATTCTTATGTTGTATCTGTATTAATATATACAATATATGTGTATATATATATATATATAGATAAATTAAACAAGTATGTACATATAATATTAAGCAAATGCTAATTTTAAACAACATATTGTATACATATTTTAAAATATTATTTATTTATTTTATTTTTTTCTTTTTTTAAATGTTAAGACGAATATTATTTATTTGTATTATACATATATACTATATACATATAATAATTACTTATATTTATTTATATGCAAATATATATTAAACCTATAATTAATCAAATAAGTCATCAAATTTTATTTCAACTTCCTCAAAATCTATCCAAATATGACTATGTGTTTCTTTAAATATGTGACTTATAACTTGTTCAGGTAAAAAAAGTTGCCTGTCTATTTCTAATGATGATTTAATTATAAATTGCTTACCACTTGGAAGGCCATTAGAAAATACATAATTAAGCAAATTTTAAAATGTCATATTTTTAGTAATATGAATATTGGATTTTAGTGATGATTTTTTTTTTGTATGAAGAGATAATGAATGTAATGTTGATGTAGTAATCATTGATATAGAAGTAGAATTTGTTGTAAAAGAAGAATCAATTAAAGGTTCTAAATTAATTATAATATATTTAAAATTATATATAAGTGTATATTAAAAATTTTAAATGTATATTATATATAACAATAATATATCATCATTTGAATATTGTTTAGAAGTTGGATATTGATATTTATTTTTATCAAATGATAGAATATTTAGAGGTGTTTGTTCATTGACACCCTGCATTTTAGTTAACTTCATTAAAAAAATTAATATGTATATGCTATATTTATAAATATTTAATACATATATAAATTATTAAACACTTACAACTGCATGTGCCCACAAAGTTATTAAATCACCATTTAATTTTAAATATCGACCATCATCAGAAATCAAACAACCTTGAATATGTATATCACATGATGGAAGATTTTCATAAATCTTTTTTTTGATATTGTTCAATGTATTAATAGCATCAGATTCAGTTTCAAGTGTCTAATAATAAATTTTACAATAAATAAATTATAATTAATATAAATAAAATTTAAATATTAAAATATTTAATTTGATACTTACACAAACTCTTTTGCTAACTCTAGTAGATTCATCATTTTCTTGATAAACACACAATTGAAGATTCTTTTTATATTTAATTTCAGAAATAAAAGCAGTAATAGCCCCATCTGATTTTAAATCATAATGATCTGCTTTGGTTGTATTTGAAATTTGATAACAAATATGACCTAATTTAATCTTTTCCCATTGCTCAGGAAGTGTGCATGATAGAATTTCTTCTTCAATGTTTCCGAAACTTTTTATATTTTTGAGGTCATATGGAATTGCTAATGCTCCATCGAGTTTTTTATGTGGTTTCTCAAATCGATTGTAACACACTAGTGTAACAAATGCTAAAATAAAATTTATTAGATATTAAATAAATATATATTATAAAGTATATAACATATCTTACTTTTAACTGGTCCTTTTGGTGTAATAATTTTTGATTGAGTCACTGTTGCTTCAAATAAGGTGGGTGTTGCATTAGATTCAGTTGCTGTTGCTTCAAACAAGTTGGATAATTTAGATTCAACCTCCATTACTTCAGACAAATTAGGTGTTTGTAAAATATTGGTTACGGATGAATAACTTAAAGGTTATTTAGTTGTCAAGTCTATCGTTTCAATATTTTCACCTGATTCATACTGGTTTTCTTTTTGAACTATATTTTATAATAAACATTATATATAAAATCTTTTAAATAAAATAACATAATGTATAAAATTTTACTTTGGTTCCGTTGATTATAGTTCTCAACGCAGTTTCGACAAATGTTGATAAAATCTTGGTTATTTGGAATTATAATTCGATTTACGTTGCTTTTAATCCAGTCAATAAATTCTTGGTCATAACGAACTTTTTTTATATTAGCGCCTACTTGTGTTATGTATTTATTATGAAAGGTTATCTTATATTCAGGACCTTTTTTATGTTTTTTATTAAGATCCATTGGTTGGCAAGAACAATCTTCGGCATAAATTTTCGTACAGACTAAACACACCAAACATACTGGACATGCATTTAAGCGAAAACCTAATTTCGAATGTGTTGACATTGTTAGTGGTCAGAAGTCTATAATTATGTATTAAAAATAATCGCTTTATATCTAATCATGTTCAAAAACAAAAGTTTATCACTGCCGAAATCAATAACTTATCGAATCGGCCTGATAATCATTCGGTCAATTTTTGCCAAATGTCCCAAAATTTATGAGAACAGCTGTAATGCAATTTTTTAAAAAAATCCGTCGGTAAAATAAGCTGTCGATGATATAAACTGACAGTAAAACAAACTTGTCAGTTAATTAATTATCGATAAAGTAATTAAATTAATTTCTGCAGACATTGATGCAAAACAACATTCCACTCAGTTACATACCTTAGTGCTAGCAATGGGTTCACTACGACATAATCAAGCAATTAAGCTGAAATTTGGTCCTCATTATAAAGTTTTAGTTCATGACTGCATATTAATTAATCGATGCCGAACTCCAAAAAAAAAAAATTTTTTTAATCTCTGATTTACAGTATATCAATAACGCGTCTAACCATCTTAGCGCACTTCGTTAGACATAGAAATTTATACCGGGTGTCCCAAAAGTTCCTATATACTACCCTTTTTTTGATCAGTATGATATATCAAAAGTCAAATTGTTTCAAATTTTGGTGTTCTACCTGTAAATACACTGAGAATTTTTTGATCTGTATCGGATATGACGAATTTGTATATATGACTCGGAAGATACAGAAAATTCATGATTTATAACATTTCTTTATCGGCTGTAGAGATGAAGCATTTAAATAGATAAGTTAATGCTCTTATATATTAAAAATTAGAATTATTAAATACGCACACGAAATATCACCTAGGAATTGAAATTATATTGTCTAAAATATAAGAACTAAAATATAGTTAAAATTTTATCAATTAATTAACAACCAGATATAGGGTTGTTAATGGGTTGGGTTGGGTTGGGTTAAGCAACTCTGCAACCCACTCCAGCTTGGGTTGGGCTCACTCCTGAGCCACTCCAGATTTGCTTAGAGCTGCTCCAGTTCACTCCAGTTTCACTCCAGATTTTTAGGCACATCTTTAACCCACTCCAACTTGGGTTGGGCTCACTCCGGAGTGGCTCCGGAGTATGCCACTCCATTAACTACCCTAACCAGATATGATAGTGTAATTGTTTACCATAAGTTTTTAACAATTCTGCAGATAAGAAATTAATTGGCATAGAAAGGTTTTAAAGTTAAGCAATTTACTTCTAAGTTTATCTTTAGAAACCCGGTTAATAACGTCGGAATAATTGCACCTGCAGATTCGAATGCTTTTAATATTACTAATTCACTTTTATCTTTTGCTGCAATTTGATTTGCTATATCGAATCATTTTGATAAATATCAGATGTAGTGGTCTATCAGAAGGACTACCGGATTAGCATTCATAACATTTATTTGCTAATTGGAAATAGCACTCAGGAATGCCTTTAGCAAATTCAGTAATCCATTACATATTTGAATAGCTACCGTTTCATCATAATCAATATCATGATAAGGTCTTCCGTAAACATCTTTGGAATAACAATACCAAAATTATAAGTATCAGTAACATTTGTATAGATCATGTATGTATTCGTGAAATTTAGAAGTTCTCATCAATTGATTCAAGAAGCCAATATTTTGTAGTGTTATATGATGAGACAATTTATCTTTGTATTTGCATAACATTGATTAATTGAAATATTTCTTGTTGACACTAAATGATAATCCAAAATTTTTGATTTAATAAAGACTTGTGTGAAGCATTATAAATTTTTTAAAAAAAATATTTTTAACAAAAAAATCTTTAATTTATAAAAAATTTGATTTTTAAATTATAAGTTTTGATAAAAGATCAATGGGCAAAACATGTAGGCACTGTCAAGAAGATTTGGTTAAAGTAACCAACTTTTTTAAGTATGTACTTACGTAAAAAAAATTATAGAAGGAGTTAGTTATCATTTTTAAGTTCATTATCACATCTAATCTGTATTATTCTCATGAAAGCAATTTGTTAGCGACTATAGGCTAAATTATAAATTATTTAAATCCGTAGAACTTTATTTGTAATCCGAGTAATTATTCAATTTATCAATATTCAATCTTTAGTTATAATCAGAGAAAACTTATGAATATGTTCGATTGATTTTTCAAAAAATTCTTACATTAGATTAATTCTCAAAAAAAAAATTTGCGCTCTGTTGATTTCTCAAAAAAATTTACATTCGATTAATTTCTCAAACAAATGGCATCTGATTCAATTATTAAATCAATAGATCTCTCAGAAAAAAAGCATTTTACTTTGGATGGCATTCCATATCTGAATGGAAAAGTAATTGGATTATCATCTGATTAATTGAAATATAACATATAAACCTATTAAATTTTTATCTATCTATTATCTCTAGGTTGCAGTTGTACAGGAGGGAAATTTTGGTATTGGATATATTGCACGCAGAGAAATTTGCCAGAAAAAACGCCCACGCGTTCGTATTAAATCTGAATATCGAGAGAGGACAGGCAACTGTTAATAAAAATCAAATCTAAGACTGGTAATCAAAATGTTGAAATTTCGCTGTTGGATTTAAACAGTTTAAAATCTGTTTAAGAATACGCCGAAATTTTTTTTGCTGGAAACTTATCATTGCATATTCTATAAGTTTTATTATAATAATTATTATAAATTAGTTTATTAAACGTTACAAATTTGGCTTAATTGATTGTTATTTTTATCAGAATTAACAATACTGGAATCACTACAAAGTAATAAAGTTAAAAATATAATTTCTTTTCACTTGTGATTTCACTTGTAGCTAAACGAATAATATAATAATATTAATAACTCTTTTCTCTTATAAATATAATAACTAAATGAATATCATGTAACCTATCATTAAATAGTAGTAAGATCATGGAAATTATTTATACAAATTTGGAAATCAGAAATAAAATCCAAATTTTTACGTGGCCCTGGATAGTAGCTATCTAATAAATTTTAGTGTAAATTTAACTTTCAACAAATGGCTCTAATTCTCTCTGCACAATTTATCATTTTAAGGGTAGAGTCCAATGTAGATCATTTTCATATGACTTTGATGGTAAATTTTTTTTATTTTTAATATTTTAAAAAATTTTATTAAGTTAATTATTTTAGA